CAGACAATTTGAATCATATTTCCAACGACGAAGAGTCAGAATGGCTGGCAAATATAGATCAAAGTTCATTAGATGAATCGAACGAACAAAAACGGCTTGACGACCAGAAAATTTCTTCAAAATAGAAACTGCAGCACGACAACGTGCCAATTCCGTTCCGCTTCGCATACTTCTGTCACGCACTCCCCGAAAATAAACATCCGCGAAATTCGCCCGCACTAAAATACCAGTTTGGCGTGTTGGATAATAAATAACTTATTAGATGTTTTGTTGTTTAGTATTGCTGAGTATTTGTACTCGTTATTTGTATTTTGACTCGCCCCACGGGCTTGTCAAAATACGGCAGAACTTGTAAAAATACTCAACGATACTACACAACAAAACGTCTAATAAGATATATGATATCTCAGCTGTTCCAACACAAATTGACCACCGCTCAGAAATGTTCCCTGATAAGAGTCGCGATTTTTTGAAAGCCTGTCTTCAAGTGGAGGGATCATTCAATCAGGCTGTTATGTCACTCCTACAGGCAACAAGTAAAACTATCCTTGATGATGACAAAAACGACTCGATGAGTTCACCGTCTGAAACACTAGGAACCTGTGGTGATACTCAGGACCTGAGTGCTGAATTGAGAAACCTTCAGAAAAATTTCTCTTCAGATCAAAAGGAAAAGGTGAAGGTAGATGATGAGGATATTCTTAATGATGCTATGGCTTACTATTAAGATCAAGATTTTGACCCAAGAAAGAGGCTAAGAATCATATATAGAGGACAGGCAGCAGCAGACACTGGTGGGGTCATCCGTCAATTCTATGCTCAACTACTGAGTGCAATTTCAGATGCCTTTTTTCAGGGTTACACATATTGAAGTCCAGTTGATAACTGGGATATTGTAGCATCAGGTGTTATGAAGCTGGTGGGGACCATCATCGTTCACAGTGTGTTACAGGCAGGACCTGGGTTTCCTGTATTTAGCCCAGGAGTGTATAATTACCTGGCCAAAGGTGCTTTAAATGAAGTGATGGAAGGAGTCACTATTAAAGACTGCTCATATCAGATGGAACATTTCATAACCAAGGTAAGAGATAACAAAAGCTACATTTTAACATCATGATAATTAAAATATTTTAGATTACAACCTATCTGTAAACAGTGCAAATGGACTCTTCCCTCTGGGGGTACACCAACTATGTTAAGAACAAGACAGCACTTGTGTTTCTTGCATACACTGATCATCTACTCATTCTTAAACAGATACATGTACATCTATTTTTAATTGCTTGCTAGAAGATGTGGCAAAAGGTCTGAAACCTGTCTGATCAAGGACTCCAACATTCTATATGGTGCCTAATACTATCGCTGGGTGAAGGCAGTATCAAAAACATATGTAAAACTTTTTATCTGAAAGACAAAGGGTTTGATTGACGGTTTGTTTGTTTTTAAGATTGCAAAAGTTGAAGATGTTTCTGAACTTGACAAAGATGAGATAGCAAGCGTTCTCTCAGACTGTGGACTTTCCATGACATTAAGTGTGAGTTTGCAAATTTTAATGAAATTAATTAACAACAGTGTTAACACAATATTAATACAAAAGTATTTAGAACTTGCACACTATCTTGATATCAAAGG